TTCTCCATCTCTACAAACAATAGCTTCAACATTTTTTTTTGTTGTTGAGACGGAGTTTCGCTCTTGTTACCCAGGCTGGAGTGCAATGGCGCGATCTCGGCTCACTGCAACCTCCACCTCCTGGGTTCAGGCAATTCTCCTGCCTCAGCCTCCTGAGTAGCTGGGATTACAGGCACGCGCCACCATGCCCAGCTAATTTTTTGTATTTTTAGTAGAGATGGGGTTTCACCATGTTGACCAGGATGGTCTTGATATCTTGACCTCATGATCCACCCGCCTCAGCCTCCCAAAGTGCTGGGATTACAGGCTTGAGCCACCGCGCCCGGCTAGCTTCAACATTTTAAATCATCATAGCTTCCAAAAGATGACATGCCAGTGTATCACACACCTAACAGGTGTGTATGTGGAACACATCTCCACCAATCTCGGAGCAGCCAGTCAGGACCAACCAGCCATCTAGCCTTACTGCAGAAGCTGGAAGCAAACCCTCTCAATGTTCTCCTCCTTCAGATGGGAGACAACTCCAAAAACAGTCTGCTGTGTGACCTCATCACCACAAACTTACTCCTCTTAACCATGTCAGAGGCATCCTCACTGGCCACGTAGGTCAAATCAACATTTTACTATAATGTACAAAAAGGGTTTGACCTTCAAAACCCTTTAGAAGGGCTCAAATGACTTGTCCAGTATCATCATCTATTCATGTGTCTGTACTTAGCAATTTCCTACCTCTAACCTCTGCTTACCAAGATACTCCCTTCTTTTATCTATTCCTGTTTATAAATGCTATTCACACTTGCATGTGCAGCTCAACTACTTTTCTAAGAAGCTTCCCTCCCTCCAGGTTGGGTGCTACCTGTCCAGCCTCTTAACTACACTAAAACTTACCTAAACCCTTTGCTCCAAAGTCCTAGTAAATATTACTTGTGTTGATGTCTTTTCTTCTTAACTAGTTACTAAGAGCACCAAGGGCAGGCTTCTCGCTTTAACCCAATTCCCTTCCCTTTTGCCTAGCCAATGGGCTTGGTAGATACGGGAAAATCATCATTTTAAGTTACTGTGTTTGACATCTGACAAGTAAGCAAAACCTTAAGGACACACCTAGACTACAGAAGAAGCCATTTTGCAATGTATTGAAGGTTTGCTAAAATGGCCTTATGGTTGGGGAAAATAAAGTCATACCAGTAAAATCAGAAATTAAATTTCATTTTCTTGGATTTTCTTTGCAAAAAGGAACTCCATTTTAAAGTCTCTGGGAGACTTTGATTTTAAAGTACAGTATTTGGGGGCTCCATTGAGGCTGACTTTTGCTAATTATAAATTCAAACTCAATTCCAATTTTACATATTGCTTTTACATGCATCAAAAACCTCAAGTCATTCCAGTAGCTATAGCTAAGATTTACTAAAACAATCCTGAAATATTCCACTATCAATAATTGTATTGATGCCATCATACATCTATTTTCACTAAATGGTTAATCCCTGAATACAGACAGAATATCCTTCTCCTTTCTTTAAGATCTGTAATAATAGAGAAAATCAGCATCTTCTGGAAAACCTGAGCTGGCCTCAGGCAGTGCCTACCCCATGCTTGGTGAGGCTTTTCACATGTCATTTCCCCTTTTCACGCCTGTCTTGACAACAAACCATACCCTGCTCACCCATCAGTCAAACCTTACATGTTTCAGCCTAGTGCAAAGCCCATTTTTTTTCTTCAGACCTTCCTGTCAGTAAGGGTCACAGAACATCAGGCTACAAGTGACTTCAGAAACCATTTGGTCACACCCCTTCAATTTTACAGACTGGGAAGTGACCCAGAGTCAACACAAGGTCACACAGAAAATCAGTGGCAGAGCCAGAACTATAATTCAGATTTCCTGGGACTCTAGTGAAGGCCTTTTGCTTTTTACTATCTTCTTTCCCTTAATTCACGTAACACTTGAACCTAATATTATTTTACTGGTTTTCAGGGCACCAGAGCATTCCATTTTGAATATTATTTTTAAAAGTCTGCTTCATTTACTCCCAGTCATCAATGAGGATTATATATAAAAGATCCTACACACTTGTGCAATTCCCCTCAAAAACTAATAATAAAAAAACCAGTTCTTTGATATGTTTTAACATGAGCTTACAATGAGAGTATAATTTAAAAATGTAAGCATACAACTAGGCTTTACCAAAGAGTAACGTGTTTATTTCACGTAAATTCTTAAAAATACTTTCTTGGCAGTTGTCACATAAAATGTCCTAATGTAAAACAAAAAACTCATTAGAAAGAAAAGCATGAAAAAACAGACCCAAAATGTTAAGATTTTATTTACAAAGCTTTTTTGTTGTACAGAAAGTAAAAATGCTGTTACAGTCTCGGTGTAACTGGTAGCCACAGACGGTTGACTCGCCAATCACAGCTATCCACGCTACAGCAAGAGTCTTACACAAAAACCTAACAATGCTTACAATTTTGTTGGGGTGAAGTCCACAAGCTTGGTGGTAGATTACCAAGAGGGACTACATGGAAGGAAGGCGGAATGTCACAGGAACTATTCTTTGGCTCTTTGGGTGGGTGGGTGTCCTGGGGTTTGTATCACAGCTACCTTTTTTTTTTTTTCCCAACAGCTACCAAATCCATGAGCAGTCCAAACAATACTGAACAGTTCTGTTTCTGCAGGTCATCTGGGGTCTTAATCATCTTCTCCTTCATCATCTGTTTCTCTCTTCCTCTTTTCACCTTTACCACCTTCTTCCTCCTCTGTAAAGTAACAAAAACTGACTTTAGGACAGTTAGAAAGGCATTTTGCTTAGTTTATTGCCAATGGCGGCAACAACAATAAAGTTTGACTGTTAGGAGATAAAACGATGTAAACTTGATCAGATTAATACAGGTGATATAGGAAGTTTAAGTGGTGACCACAGAACCAAGAAAAGTGGAATGCACAGCAACTCAACTCACACAGGAACGTTAACCCAGTTTCCTCAATTTTAAGGTGTTTTCTTCTAAATGTTTCTTTTTACAAATCTATCAATTATTAAAATGCACACTAATAACTTGAGCTAGTTGGGCACAGTGGTTCATGCCTATAATCCCAGCACTTTGGGAGGCTGAGATGGGTGGATTACCTGAGGTCAGGAGTTCCAGAGTAGCCTGGTCAACATGGTGAAACCCCATCTCTTATCAAAAACACAAAAATTAGCCAGGCATGCTGGCACAGACCTGTAATCCCAGCTACTCGGGAGGCTGAGGCAGGAGAATTGCTTGAACCCAGGAGGCAGAGGTTGCCGAGATCCCACCACTGCACAGCAGCCTGGGTAATAAGAGTGAAACTGTCTCCAACAAAACAAACCAACCTCCTCGAGCTATCTAGCATGTCTTCAAGCCATACTCATTTTCAAGTGATTTTGGACAAACTTAACCTCTTTTTAAGCCTTTTTCAACTGTAAAATGGGGACAATGGTACTGACTTTAAAAGGTTATTCTGATAATTAAGTAACACACAAAACACTTCTAATATTAACTAAAAAGGGACTTTTAAAAGTATTTATGTAGTCAAGACACAGACTTACACATAGACCAATCTTTTCAACTAATAAAATCCATGGTTATTTTAATGAAATTAACTATGCTGAATCATGTTTCATACAGGTTCTTAAAGGCAGTGACAAGGTCCTAACCAGGGTAATATCTAATATAAATGTAATCGAGAGCTTGACAAAGTGGATGCTGAGAAAGCATGAACCAGCAGCACAGTGAACACCTGATTCTCTGAGACTCAACTATGAGACGTTTATTTTCAGTGTCTCGCTCTGTCACTGGGACTGGAGTGTAGCGGCACCATCATAGCCTCACTGCAACTTCAACCTCTTGGGCTCAAGCAATCCTCCCACCTTAGCTTCCCGAGTAGCTGGGACTCTAGGCATGTACCACCATGCCCAGTTTTTTTTTTTTGAGACAGAGTCTTGCTCTGTCATCCAGGCTGGAGTGCAGTGGTGTGATCTTGGCTCACTGCAACCTCCACCTCCTGGGTTTGAGTGATTCTCCTGCCTCCACTTCCTGAGTAGCTGGGATTACAGGCACGTGCCACCACACCCGGCTAATTTTTGTGTTAGTAGAGACAGGGTTTCACCATGTTGGCCAGGCTGGTCTCAAACTCTTGACCTTAGGTGATCCACCTGCCTTGGCCTCTGAAAGTGCTGGGATTACAGGCATGAGCCATCATACCTAGTCACAGCTTTTTAATTTTCTGTAGAGACAGGATCTATGATGTCCAGGCTGGCAAACTTTTAATAGTATTAAGTAACAGTTATTCCATTAGTCTTGGTTGTGGTAGGGAAAGGACTAACACTGATCAAACTGGGAAACTAGTATATCTATTTATATATCCTGAAAATTATGGTTCAACTATTAAACTTTTTTTAAAAAAAATTAACTCCAAACACAGAAACCTCACACTTGGCAGTAAATCAAATGGCTTTAAATGGTCCCTCCATTTAAAACATGGGGACCAGGCTGGGTGTGGTGGCTCACACCTGTAATCCCAGTACTTTGGGAGGCTGACGTGGATGGATCACTTCAGGCCAAGAATTCAAGACCAGCCTAGCCAACATGGCGAAACCCCGCCTCAACTAAAAATATAAAACTTCACTGAGTGTGGTGGTACATGCCTGTAATCCCAGCTACTCAGAAGGCTGAGGCAGAGAATCGCTTGAACCTGGGAGATGGAGGCTACAGTGAGCGGAGATCATACCACTGCACTCCAGCCTGGGCGACAGAGTGTGACTCCATTTCAAAAAAAAAATAACAAAAAAATGCCATGGGGACTGAAGACCAACAGGACCCTTGCAATCAGACAAGAGTAACTGCTGTAGCAGCAGGAAGCCTGCACTAGCACAGACACAATAATGGGATGATACAGACAAGAACGTGAATGTGTGTGTAGACTGCCAGAGCCAAGGATATTTTATTTTCTTCTCGGTGGTATCAAATTCTAAATAATAGATGTTTTCATCTAATTTTTAACTGAGAATGATCAAAATGCATGCATTAGACCCACCTTCATCCTCATCCTCATCTTCATCTTCTTCATCAAGTCCAAATTCTTCCTCCTAGAGAATAACAGTATAATATCAGATTAATTCTGCCAAATTGAGAAGGGCAAATAGTACAAATTCTGCCAAACCAAGAAGTACAAATAAATGCAACAGTATTAAGCAGGAAACTGTAATTTTATTTGTATCTACTTGGATGTACCAAGACCCACTGATTTTCCTTAATCAGCATTATTTTACAATTTTTCTTAAAAAAAAAATTTAGAAGCAGTTCATTTGCTAGATGTTTAATTATATGACTTTGGATAATTCAAGAAATGATCTTAAAATCTCAAATTTCAAAACGTATTTAGACAAAAATTTCTTTCTTTCTTTTTTTTTTTTTTTGAGACGGAGTTTCGCTCTTGTTACCCAGGCTGGAGTGCAATGGCACAATCTCGGCTCACCGCAACCTCCGCCTCCTGGGTTCAGGCAATTCTCCTGCCTCAGCCTCCAGAGTAGCTGGGATTACAGGCACATGCCACCATGCCCAGCTAAATTTTTTGTATTTTTAGTAGAGGCGGGGTTTCACCATGTTGACCAGGATGGTCTCGATCTCTTAACCTCGTGATCCACCCACCTCGGCCTCCCAAAGTGCTGGGATTACAGGCTTGAGCCACCGCGCCCGGCCTAGACAAAAATTTCTCTATCTCATTCATATACAAAGCTTTTTTCAGGACTTTAATGTCAATCATACACCTAATGAGAGCACACGAACCCCAAGACTTATTTTTATACTACAAGAACATGCTTTTTGCTAACTACTGTTGTCTGCCTGTTTCCCAAAAACCTCTTTGAGGGTCAAAGTCAAGACACTGTTTTCTCCTGCCCTTATATAGCACTGATTTCCTCAGGTATACTCTATTACTGGGTGTCCCATAAACTAGACTATGTGCTCTTTCAGGGCAGGACACAATCTCATTTAATTTTGTACCCCTAATTCTTTAATATACTGGGAATATATTTACTGAATACACAAGAAAAAGTTTAGACTTGGTAAACATATACTTCCCTACAATTCAATGAAAGAACAGACATACCATCAATTTTCAACATTTCCAGTTTTCTTACCACCCTGAATACTCAACTCGTTCCTTCCCCGGAGAGGGCCAAAACTCACCTTGCACAGCCAGTAGTCATTTCATTTAATAGTTATTTAAAGGCAGACAAAAACTAAACCAGATTCGTATTGTAAATCTATTCACAGGTATACTAATTTCTTCAAAAGGTGTTTTTCTCTTCTTTGCCATCTTTTTTAAACTCCCACTTTTGTTTGAATTACAAATAGGAAGCAGGGTAGAAAACAGCTGCACTGACCTCCTCACTGACTTCATCTTCGTCATCATCCCCTTCTACATCTTCGTCTTCATCATCTTCTTCATCAAACTCCTCTTCTTCACCATCCTCATCCTCCTCATCTTCCTCATCATCTCCTTCTGAAAACAGTCCAAATAGGATTCATTAAATATCCCCAGTGGTCCAAAAGGCACAAGGTGTTGGGGATCTGTGGGCTGGCTCACAGAACAAATGCTGGTAAGGCCACGAACTGCAGTCACTTTCTACAATGTGCTACAGCTCAGTCCCTTTGTCCAACAGTCCCATAAAGTCAGAAAGCTAGAAGTCCTGGTAGACAAGACAAACACTATAATTCTCACTGGTGACATGATACAATGGCTAAGATCTGCTTCAAAATTATAAGGACTGGGGAAGAAGATAAGGGTGTATGCAGGAATAAAACAACATCAGCTATGACCAATAATTGCTGAAGCTGAGTGATAAGAACATGGAGGTTTGTTTTGCTACATATATCCCCACCCACCCCCTCCCCAAGACAGAGTCTTGCTCTGTTGCCCAGGCTGGAGTGCAGTGGCACGATCCTGGCTCACTGCAACCTCCACCTCTCGGGTTGAAGCAATTCTCCTGCCTCAGCCTCCCAAGTAGCTGGGATTATGGGCACCCACCATCATGCCCGACTAATTTTTGTATTTTTGGTAGAGACAGGGTTTCACCATGTTGGCCAAATTGGTCTTGAACTCCTGACCTTGTGATCCACACCTCAGCCGCCCAAAGTGCTGGGATTACAGGCATGAGCCACTGCACCCAGCACGTTTTGCTGTATTTTTACCTTTATCACTGTCTGAAATTTTCCACAGTAAAAAGTTAAAAAAAAAAAAAAATCATGTACCTTCTTTTGGGTAATAGTACCATCACAGTCACAGTCAGCTGTTCAAATCAGGAACCCGAGAAACACCCAAATAACCCTGTGACTTGGGGAACAGGAGGCTGAGAGGCATCTGCATCTCTACCTGATTTGCGCAGACCTCTAGTGCAGCAGTTCTTGCTTCTCTCGGGTCCTACAGCTCACTATACTCTCACCTGCCTCTTGGTCTCTGCATGCTCTTTCCATCTCTCTTTGCTTGGCTAACTCAGACTCCACCTTGGAGTCTCAGTCAACATCACTTCCTTAGGCAGTCGAGTTTACTCAAGATAACCTCTCAATGCCAGGTCACAGGCTATCACATGAGTGACAATGCTTCTCCATTACAGAACACTTTGCTTACTTGTAATTATTATTTATGATTTTCAGTTAAAAATTTTTTTTTCTATACAGATAGGGTTTGGCAATGTTGCCAGGCTGGTCTTGAACTTCTGGATTCCAGCAATCATCCTGCCTCACCCTCCCCAAGTGTTAGGATTACAGGTGTGAGCCACCATCCTTAGCCTATTTATGATCAAAACAAAACATTTCTCTGTAAGGTCCAAGAGGATAGGAACTCTTTTTTTTTTTTTAAACCACTATTTTCTGCAGTGCCTGGCACATAGGAAATGCTCGAATATTTGTTGCCTGACCAGTCTTTGCTCTCAGGAACTCTCCCTTACAGGCTCTTGCACATGTGGGTATTCTATCTGGTTGAGGTGAACTTAAATAGACAACAAGCACAAATGGTTTTTAGGAGAAACGGAAAAACTGTAGAAAGGAGAAAAGGACGTAACATTTGGAAATAAGTGAGATGTCCTATTCTCTGTCCATTTTGCTTCCCTGTAACTCATTGATTTTTGCCTATTTCAATATGCTTCAAAACAAAGCTATAAGAACACTTCCAGAGTATTATACCATTAATTGCACCCAAACTCCCTGATGCTTTTCCACCTCCATTTTCTCGGCAATTTGTCTTATGTGCTGATTTTTTTTTTTTTTTTGAGACGGAGTTTCGCCCTTGTTACCCAGGCTGGAGTGCAATGGCATGATCTCGGCTCACCGCAACCTCCGCCTCCTGGGTTCAGGCAATTCTCCTGCCTCAGCCTCCTGAGTAGCTGGGATTACAGGCACGTGCCACCATGCCCAGCTAATTTTTTGCACTTTTAGTAGAGACGGGGTTTCACCATGTTGACCAGGATGGTCTCGATCTCTCGACCTCGTGATCCACCCGCCTCGGCCTCCCAAAGTGCTGGGATTACAGGCTTGAGCCACCGCGCCCGGCTTATGTGCTGATTTTTAAGAAGTATTTAAAATAATGCTTCAACTAGAACAATACCACCAACTTCAGCAACATCACAACCAAGTATTCTTCATGCTGACTGATGTGAAAATTAATCATTCTGCTTCCTCTAAGCCAGGGGTCCCCAACTCCCAGGACTGGTACTGGTCTGTGGCCTGGGCCGCACAAATAGAGGTGAGGAACAGGCCAGTGAGCATTAACACCTGAGCTCCGCCTCCTGTCAGACCACCTGTTTGATTCCCATAGGAGTACGAATTCTCTTGTGAACTGCACATGTGACGGACCTAGGTTGTGCACTCCTTATGAGAATCTAATGCCTGATCTGAGGTGGAACCGTTTCATCTTGAAACAATTCAGCCGCCGCCCCCAGCTACCCTCTTCCCCCTCCCCACATCTGTGGAAAAACTGTCTTCCATGAAACCAGTACCTGGTGCCAAAAAGGTTGGAGACTGCAGCTTTAAGCCACCTGAAGTGAGAAGCGTTTTATTCTATAAGTGACTCAGAGTAAACAAACTCGACATGCAAAGAAAAACACAAGCTAGTCAGGAAGAATATTTTGGATAGAAAATAGCATTTTAAAAAAAATCTTTATATAAAAATCCTAGATCAAATGCCAAAAATACTGAAAATCATCTCTTAAGTCTATGTTATGATCAGAGATTATTTTCCTTATTAATGACAAATGGAATCTAACCTCTGGTTATTTGAAATCATTACCTTCTTAAACTCTAGTCATATGTAAATGGAAGGGAAAGCTATTTTATTTCTAGTTGGCAGTAACAAGCAGGTACTAAGTACCTACTAAGTGCCAGGCCCAAGAATCAAGAGGTAAGTACCCAAGATGATGGATGACTGTAGTACGGTAGGACAGCAGTCCTCAAACTTTTTGGCAGCAGGGACCAGTTTTGTGGAAGACAGTATTTCCACAGCCTGGGGGTGGGGGGATAGTTTCAGGATGAATTGAATGCATTATGTTTATTCTGTACTTTATTTCTATCATTACATTATAATATATAATGACATAATTACACAACTCACCATAATGTGGAATCAGTGGAACCCTGAGCTTGTTTTCCCTGCAACTAGACAGTCCCTTCTGGGGGCAATGGAAGACAGTGACACCCGAAGTGTGTTGCTTAGGTCCAGTCTACTCCATAATCTTATTTTGGTTGCTGTCACTGCAGAAAACCTTGCTTTACAAAGACAGGATATTGGAACCAGAAGCAGGTTTTTTAGTGCTTCTGTGGCAATCTCAGAATATTCCACCTTGACTTTAATACAAAATATACGGAAATTTTGAAGTTGTCACAAACCATACTTTTAAGGCCACTGCCATTTGTTATCTCAACCACTTAATCCTCTTCAAGCATGGACAAAGTCGACTGACCTGGCTTTTTCACAAATGGGTCCTTCCGAGTTCGAGGGTCTTTTGTGGTTGTGAAGTAATGCTCAAACTCTTTTGAAAGCTGAGTTAGGTAATCATGCACCAGCTGAGAGAAAGAAGGCTCTGGCTCAGTCTCTTTCAATATCACTGCTAATGTTTGAAACACGTCAAAAATCCGAATGCTCGGAACGGAAAACTGAACACTGTATGTTAATACATGGACACATGGAGCGGTGGGAACAACATAAACAGGGGCCTTTGTCAGGGGCAGGGAGAGAGCGCATCAGAAAGACTAGATAATGGATGGTGGGCTTAATACTTTGGTGATGGGATGACCTGTGCAGCAAAACACCATGGCACACGTTTAGCTATGCAACAAACCTGCACCATGTACCCCTGAACTTAAAAAAAAAAAGTTTTACCACCCATTCTGTATCACTGAAATGTTCTGCCAGTGGCAACTGTTATTCTAAAAGAAATCTCTGGAGCAGGCCTCGTAACTCAAAAACTCTGGCCACTGATCTACCGTTAAAACACCATCTCACTGCTCTGTGTAAGACGTGTTCTGTGTCCATCTCACAGAGTTATGTAAACAAATATGGGTTAACGGGATGTACTTTTATGTGGCTGTTAATTTTAATCACATCCTACAAGACATTAAGTTCAGGTGACATTTGTCAGCTAGCCAGCATTTCTCTATGAGTGACACAGTACACAGACTCACATCCAGAAGCAACCTCTCTGACCCAAGTAGTGAAACCAGAAAGCTGTCCAGCCATGGCAGCCACTCCCATCTGTGCATATATGACACAAAATGACCAATTCAGTTTTCCTGATACCTAATCATTCAAAAGACTTCAATAGTTCTGCAGCTGTGGCATTGTCAATGAAGCACACATAACATAGTCTCATGTACATCCTCCTGAAAATGTATCACACAAAAACAAGCATTGTTGCCATGTTGTCAACAGTGGCAGACTCATCAAGCTTCACTGCATACCTCAGTGACTCATCAATCCTCTTTAACAACTGTGCCTCGATCTCCCCTGCTATTTCATCAACGTCTAGTTTCGGTGCTAGCCGAAAGAGGGAACACATGCTACCTTTTGAACTGCAGCTTAACTGTAGCCTCTCCTAAAAGTTCATGACAAATGTTCTTAGTAGCAGGCAGGATCAACTCTTCAATAGTAAAGGGCTTCTTACTTTAGCAATGCAGTTAGCTAGCCACTAAAAATGAGATGTTCTCAGTGCAGACACATTTGATGAAGTGGTAGGTTTCAATAATTGCTTCTGTTCTTTGTGTTCACATATATTTCTTTTGAAAAACTCTAAAGGCTTGTCTTTTAAATGCAGAGTACTTGCTCTCCATGTGGTGAGTAACTTTTTGTTTTTGAGACGGAGTCTTGCTCTATTGCCCAGGCTAAAGTGCAATGGTGCAATCTCAGCTCAACTGCAACCTCTGCCTCCGAGGTTCAAGCAATTCTCATGCCTCAGTCTCCCAAGTAGCCAGGACTAAAGGCCTGCGCCACCATGCCTGGCTAATTTTTGTAGAGATGGGGTTTCACCATGTTGGCCAGTCTGCTCGTCAACTCCTGACCTCAGGTGATCTGCCTCTGCCTCCCTAAGTGGTGGGATTACAGGTATGAGCCGCTGCACCCAGCCAGTGAGGCAGTTTTGAAGGTTTCATGGCTGTGTTGGATAGCTGGTTGCCACATATTATACAAAGTGGGCTTGGAGAATGTGAATCACCTGTTTTAATGAACCTGTCATTTAAGTATCATTCTTTTTTTTTTTTTTTTGAGACGGAGTTTCGCTCTTGTTACCCAGGCTGGAGTGCAATGGCGCGATCTCGGCTCACCGCAACCTCCGCCTCCTGGGTTCAGGCAATTCTCCTGCCTCAGTCTCCTGAGTAGCTGGGATTACAGGCACGTGCCACCATGCCCAGCTAATTTTTTTTGTATTTTTAGTAGAGACGGGGTTTCACCATGTTGACCAGGATGGTCTCAATCTCTCCACCTCGTGATTCACCCGCCTCGGCCTCCCAAAGTGCTGGGATTACAGGCTTGAGCCACCGCGCCCGGCCTTAAGTATCATTCTTGATATTTTCTTTTCAGTGAAGTTTTTTTTTTTTCATTGGCAGTCTTGTCTTCTGCTATCTCATTACTGAGCCTTTCCCCCTTTTCAAAGCTCTCCACTTATACTTGTTTTTTACTTGTTTTGGCTAGGGTTAGCTTGTGGGCTTACCAAAACTGGGGCTAAGACAAATACACAGTGCAGTAAAGAGGTGTGGATGGAAATGGTAAATAAAAAAAAGGGAAGGCCACATATGGACTAAAATAAGCATCAGATTCTGACTTAAAGCGTGCCACCAGATGCAGCTGTACAACCGAGATACACCAACTCACTTGCCACTATAAAACCTGCCAGCAGATACAGCTTAAATTTTACTTACCACTCACTGATAGGTTTGAGGAGTCTGCAAGAAATTGATTTATTATGGTCTCTGTGTAGTCAAACCTCTCTGTTAACGTTAATCTGAATTTGCAGCCACTCCCCTGCACTAGCATCACCGCCTCAGCTTCACCTCAGATCATTAAGCATTAGATTCTCATAAGGAGCACACCACCTAGGCCCCTCACACATGTGCAGTTCAAGATAGGGTTACAGTTCCTCTGAGAATCTAATGCCACCACTGATCTGACAGGAGATAAAGCACAGGCAGTAATGGGAGCAATACGAAGTGGCTGTAAATACAGATGAGGCTTGCCCACCCTTCACCTCCTGCTATGTGGCCTGGTTCCTAACAGGCCATGGAGTGGTACTGGTCTGTGGCCTATGAGTTGGAAACCCCTGAAGTAGGAAGACTTACAGCAGAGTGGCAAGCCTGTAAGAGTAAGTAAGGGGTTTACAGTTTCACATGCACAGCATCCTAACCTAGCTTGTAGGCTTCAGGAAATGCTTCCCAGGCCAGGTTCAGTGGCTCATCCCTACAATCCCAGTACCTGGGAGGCTGAGGTGGGAGGATCCCTTGAGGCCAGGAGTTAACAGGCCTTAGCTATAAATTTAACAGAATGCCTACATTAAAAAAAAAAAATTACACAAACACACACACACACAATTTTCCTCAATAGTAAGAACATCAAGTAGCTTGAAACAGCCTGTCATGTGAGATGGAGTGCAGTAGGGCATAATCATGGCTCACTGTAGCCTCAAACTCCTGGGTTCAGGTAATCCTACCTCAACCTCCAATCTCCTGAGCAGCTAAGACTCCAGGTATGCACCACCACACCTGACTAATTTTTATTATAATTATTATTTTCTGTAGAAACAAGGTCTTGCTATGTTGCCTAGGCTAGTCTCAAACTCCTGGGCTAAAGCAATCCCCCTGCCCCAGCCTCCCAAAGTGCTGGGATTACACATGTGCCACTGCGCCCAGCCAACATCCAAGAGCTTTCATCAGAGGCTTTCAAAGGCAGACATCAAGTTCACTGGATGCTGAGCCTACTCACCTTCCTCCTCCTCCTCTTCATCCACACCATCCACCTCGGCATCTGAGTCAGGTGCTTCCTGGTCCTCTCGGTCATAGCCATCCAAGTAGGTGAGCTGGGGCAGGAGCTTGAAGACACTCTCTCGGTAGTCATTCAGGTTAGTAACCTCACAGTTAAAGAGGTCCAGGCTTTTCAGACATTCTAACTTTTTCTGAAGAAAAGGATCAAAAGACACAACTCCTAAACCAAAGGAATATAAGTAACAAACCCATCTGTTGAAGAGATAAAATTCTAGGCTCTATATTCAATTCCTGCTACCCACTCAGTCTTGTATGTAGAAAAACACATCAAGTCTTTTGCAACCTTTATATTAGGTTACTAGACTTTAACTAGTCTCTCTCTTTCTCTACTTACTCTCCCAGAGAACTATTATGTTTTTCTGGCAGCATAGCAGTCTAAAGAAATTTAAAATGAAAATAATTTTTATTATATGCAGATTATTTTCACAGTATGAGACAATCAAACAGTTTAATACATTTAGTTGAAACAAATGTTAACATTTGCATAATCAGATGGCCATTAAAAACTTCCGTGGTATTAAGTAGTCTCTAATGTTCTGAGGTGATATTATAGGGAAAAATTCAGAGATTTATAGCACAATCTCAAGGTACTTACAATTTTACTTAGGGCACAGACATGAAACACTAGAGGGTGAAATACAAAATATAAAGTGTGGCAATGCAGCTATTTTCAGGGAAGACAGGAGTCAACACAGGCTGGGGAAAATGCAGAGAGGCGCAGAGTTGAAACTTCAGAAATACAGAGAAATATTGTACTCTTCTTTTTTAGTTTTTAGGAAAAAGACTGACATGTTACCAGTCTTTTTGATGTAAAGTTTTTCTGATTTTATTTACTGTACCTTGAAATTTTGTTGCAATACCTCATTTCTTTAGAACCATCAGTTTCGTCTAAGAACAGTTAAGCTATAAAAACTTGGGGCTCAAATCAAGTTTTCTGAGTAGTAAAAGTGCACAGGAAAATGTCTATATATTTACTGAGATCTTCGTTTGTTATTATGTCAGTCTACTAGTATTTCAATCCCAGGTTTACTAAAGTTTTGATTAAGGGTAAATTAAGAGATTGAGAGGGCAGAGGTACTACTACAAGCAAGTCAGGAGACAGCAACAGGAAGTGACAGCAGACCCCCATAGGTAGAAGAGGGAGAAGCCTATGAAAGGCAAACCCAATATGAAGTAGCACACAGCCTGGTGCCTTTCAGAATAGGGGCGATAAGTACATATATCTAGATAGTTTCATAAGCACAACCTTTAATGGTTCTGAATCAAGAGAAAAACTTGATTGGTATTCTTTTAAGAAAATAGTACTAAAAACACCCAAACAAACATAAGAGGACTGCTACATGAAGTAATTTCTAAAAAATAAATGTTGATGTTGAACGGGCTTTGCTGCTTTATTAGGAAAGCTGTTACAACACTCACAAGGACTTGAGAAGAAATGCAGACAAAACAAAACCTTATTTTCAGAACTCAAGATATCTATGATAGTTCTGAGGAAGACATCAAACAATGTGAAAATCTGCCGCAAGGCTATAGAGCAGGGGTTGGGAACCCGTGTTCCAGGGGCCAATTCTGGCCTACCACCTGTTTTTGTGAAATAAGCTCTATTGGAACACAGTCACACTCATTTGTTTATGTATGGCTCCTTATGTGCTAAAATGGCCAAGCAGGCTAGTTGTGACAGAGACTATATAAAGAGGCTACAAAGCCAAATGAACCTACTATCTGGCCCTTAGAAAAAAGGGCTACTGACCCCTGCACATGAAGAAACTTCATCTTCTTGATCAAGAAAGAGACTCCCACACTTGTTTTATTAATGCAGGGAATAAATACAGCAGGGTTAGAGCAACAGGCACATGTTGCACCCATCATAACACAAATGTACAATGATCCAACAGTCTGTGGATCAAACAATGTACTTATATAGTGAGTTCCCTGATGTCTTAAGAAAGCTGTCCCCAGCCCTTCTGGTCAAAGCTGCTTTTGTTTTCATGTAATTTTCAGTTTAGGTTCCCTTCTGGTCAGGCCCTGACTTCCAGGAGCCCAAGTATGACTTCTTGCCAAAGAGGAAAAAAATGCTGCAGTGCTACCCCAGACAGCTAGCTAGCATACTGGCTTTTTCTCCACAAACGCGGACTCTATGCCAGCTAAGATAGAACCGTAAGTACATTTGGGCAGCTTCTCCAAAAAGGTTCTCTCTCAAAATTCTCCACTTAAAGGACAAGCCATTTGTATTTCAGATTTCCTAGAAACAGGTGTACAAAAAGATATACAACCTCAGATATTTATCTAATGCTTTATAATACCACCAAAAGCCCTTTCTCTATCTCGTTTCATTGACTCTTCCACAGTATACAGGGCCTCCAAGGCTCTTCTGTTTCTGAAACTGTACAATTATGTGAGATTTTTGGCTACTTCCTGACAAGCACCCATTATCAAGTAATTTGGACATGCCAATCAATAGGTTGGAAAATGAAATGAAAGCAAGTAAACAACAAAAATCCCAAATAACTATGGTACTCTAGAATTGTTCAAAGTAGTAAAATTGTGCTTTAAGGCCCAATAGGCACAAAATACACTACACACAGATTATTCAGGATCCCAATGTAATGTGTAAATACTGATAAAAAAAAAATTACAACTCTACCATACCAGAAATTTGATGTAAGGTAATAAACTAGCCATAATAAACATTAAACATTTTATTAACAATAATTTTGCTTGCCTTCTTAGAATTTAGAAGGGCTTTGGGGGATGGTTTGGATGGCCCAGGTCTCTTAAAAAAGGTGTCCAAGGAAGTTTGAATTGATGCCTTCTTTGTCTCTCGATTAATGTCCCTGTAGCAAGCAGAGGCATTCACAATCATTGCATTGACTGTTAAGAACTGGGCTCAAAGTAGACGGTGTTCAAAATGTATGTGGTTAATGAGGATGAGGATGGTGTTTTTCCCCACTGAAGAATACTGCTGGAAGTCAAAATGGACCCAACATTTCCCCCCTTCACCTTCTCCTACAGATTTACTTAATTCCAAGGAGTCCGAGTGCCAAGTACAGCAGAATGGTGGGACCCCAGGCTTTTCGAAATAGCTCTGGTGTGTAGCCCCATGGCTCCAACACAGGGTGTGTGACTCTGGACAAGGGATTCAGCCTCACCCAAGCCTTAGCTTCCTCAACGTAAAATAAGGGCCGTACTATTTCTATCCACTTCATAGCAAAGTTTTTTTCGTTTGTTTGTTTTTGACAATTACCAACAAAACATAAAGCACCCAGTAAGTGTATGGGTATAGATCCTCTAAAAATGGTAAACAATGAAGATTATTTTTCATCCTTCCACTATCCTGGGGAACTGAGACTTTCACAGCCATCAGAGGGTCCTCTCACACATTACTGACCAGATCAGGAAAAAGCAAAAACTCACACACAGTATTTGCTTCTGCTCCATCTCTGTGTGCTGTAACACTGAAAAAGGCTGCTGATAATCAGAGAATTCAAGTTGCCATGAGAATTAGGTAATGGCCAATCAACTGTGAAAAGGCACTGCATGCTACTCTGTTTTTTTAAAAAAACTAGGGGAAAAAAAAGGGAGAAGAGTTTTTTATGCTCACAACAACCTTTGATTAGTGTGTCTGTCACTAACCAATAAACACAGGCTTGGTGTAGCCCATCTGAATGGGAAAGCATCAGCAGTTAAAATTTGGTGCTCCTGTTGAAATTTGGGCATGAAATAAATTACAGGTGGAAAAAGAAGAACAGGTCCCAAGGGCTATGGAAAGCACAGCAGACTTGGTTTTGTTTTGTCTCACTCTGTTGCCCAGGCTGGAGTAAAATGGCATGATCTCAGCTCACTGCAACCTCCGCCTCCTGGGTTTCAAGTGATATCCTGCCTTAGCCTCCCAAGTAGCTGGGATTACAGGCACCTGCCACCATGCCCGGGTAACTGATCTGCCCACCCTGGCCTCCCAAAGTGCTGGGATTACAGGCATGAGCCACTGTGCCCAGCCGAGACTTAGATTTGAATCCCTACTCTGCCATTTATCCGGAGCAATGTACTACAACTTACTACAATGAAATGTACTACATTCTCTAAAACTCAGCTGCCTCATCTCTAAAAAGAGGACAGTCATTCTCTCTTCTCTGGGTTACATAAGGATACAATGGGCAAATGTTCATGTCCTTTGATGCAGTAAAAGTCAATAAATGTTGGCTTAAACACTGGAAATGGGGGTTGGTTTGAAGGAAACAAAACTAGTAAGAGCCTGAGTATCTAGGCATACCTGTAACAGGGAAAAAAAAAAAAAAAGGGCAAAATTCATGGAGCACTGGTGAGGCATTACATTTATGAGAAATATGAGCTCTTAAATATGGACAACTTAATGAAATGGAAAAATAAAGAGACTCAGCCGGACTTGGTGGCTCAGGCCTATAGTCCCAGCACTTAGGGAGGTCAAGGTGGGAGGATCACTTGAGGCCAGGAGTTCAAGACCAGCCTAGCCTAACATCTCTCTCTAAAAGAATACATATATTATACACACAGAGATTCAGTAAAAGGTGATTGTTCCCAGCACTTTGGGAGGCCGAGGCGGGTGGATCACGAGGTCAAGAGATCAAGACCGTCCTGGTCAACATGGTGAAACCCCGTCTCTACTAAAAATGCAAAAAATTAGCTGGGCATGGTGGCGTGTGCCTGTAATCCCAGCTACTCAGGAGGCTGAGGCAGGAGAACTGCCTGAACCCAGGAGGCGGAGGCTGCGGTGAGCTAAGATCGTGTCATTGCACTCCAGCCTGGGTAACAAGAGCGAAACTCCGTCTCAAAAAAAAAAAAAAAAAAAAAAAAAAAAAAAAGGTGATTGACTCTGTATTGGAGCAGAGTCTCAATAATTTAGGAAGGAAAAGATCTTCTAACTCTTGACAGGAAATCCTTTTCATTAAAGAAGGTGTATAATTTAACTCCGTCTTCTCCTGAAATATCAACAGAGCATTTTATACAATTGATGTGAAATCCACATATTTTAATATACTCTGACATCAGGACAGAAACAACATAGAAGAAATGTCTTACCCTCTAGGGCAGGCATCCCCAAACTGCGGCCCCCTGAGGCCATTTATCCGGCCTCCCGCCGCACTTCAGGAAGGGGCAGCTCTTTCATTGGTGGTCAGTGAGAGGAGCACAGTATGTGGCAGCCCTCCAACGGTCTGAGGGACAGTGAACTGGCCCCCTGTGTAAAAAGTTTGGGGACGCCTGCTCTAGGGTCTGTTCTGGATCCTGAAAGACAGCTCCTATATACTATATAACCCTCTGCCAAATAGGACAGCCTGTGGGGCTGGCCCTACAAACTACATTAAGCTCCTTGTCTCCAGTCCTGCCTCTGGAAGCCCTTTTCTGGCCTCTACAACTTCCACACAAGCTGGACAAAAAGCAAAGTAAGTAGATTACCTTACAAAGCAAAGTAAGTACATTACTTTATCTTATTCTCAGAACTCCTATGTGAGGTAAGTAAGGCAGAGATTATTATCCTCTCTGCTATAAATGAGGAAACTGAGGCCCAGAGAGAAGAAGCAGTTTGCCCAAGGTCACACAGCAAGTCTACAACCCAAGTGGCACTGAAACTTAGCTTTTCATATCTTATCCCAATATGGAAGACTGAAGAGTATCTTGACGTTTTCATGCAAAACTCTAGGCACAGTAATCCAACTAGAACACAAAGTCATGAATTAGACGACCTAAAGCTTAAAATGGAGCTGTCTTTTATTGTTCCATCTACAATTCAGGTATGCCACACAATATAAATAGCCTTTTCTGTTAAAGTATAAAAGTGCATAATGGCTTGGACAGTCTGGGGAAAAAAATTGTAAGAGACATGTTTAAGGCTATATAGTCAATACATAAATTTCAGAAGTGGACCCAAAACAAAACACCCCCAAAAATCCTCTTCTGAAGTATGCCATCACAATATCAGGCAGGGAGAGAGCAAAGACACAAGAATACATCTAATTAGAAAGACCCTGATCTTTAAAATTGGGACTTCTATAAAAAGTAAACAACCACCACTTTCTCAACCAATTATTATTGCCAGTAATTTCCCCCACTATAAAAAAATATGAAAATGAAAATGACCAGTAAGTCCCAGTTTCCAAATTCTTAACTACTTACCAAAGGTTCCAAGGTGCTGATATCTTTCAGTTTATTTCCACTTAAGTTTAGATGTGTGAGATTTGGAAGTTTTTCAGCTAACATGTCCAGACCTCCGAAGATTCTATTTTCACTGAGTTCAAGCTGCAAGAGAAAATGGATACAGCACAAACACAAATACACACAGAGAAACACACATCATCTAAGGTATTGTAAATAAAAAAGTTCTCAAATATTTATCAAGATCAAATAATTCCTATTTCTATTAAGGCATGCATGTTCATTTCGTTTAAATCCAAATAATTAATATGAGAGGGTAAAGTTAGAAGTATTGTTTTCCTAATCAGCTGCTAATAACAGCTTTGTCAACAACCAGTCTCTAACATCAGTGAATAAATTTTCTAACTTAAAAAGTAGGTCAAAATCAATTAGAATTTTTTGACAAGGTATTAATACCCTATACCTGCCAGAAAGGGTAAATGGTTTAATAGTCTGTGCCTTCTGAGCAGCTTATTTTGCGGACCTTCAAAACTTGCAACGTCCACTTGAAACCTAATCTGATTCTGGACAATGCTGACATACACTGTGGAGTTCTACACCTGGAAGCCATCAGGGACTGTTGCTCTGAAAGCCACAAGAGAGAGACGGGCCCTACAAATCAGCCCATAAGGCAGCAGCCTCAGGTTTATGAAACCAGCTCCTTAGAGTCCACATCTTGCATAAACCTGGTGCTGGCCTTTATTACACCTACTCTAATTTCTTAGCTGCAGGTCAAGTAGCACTGGCAAGTAGCGTGACAATGAGGGAATGAGCCTTCCCCAAGGAATATTAGAATCTTAAAGTAGAAGGAATTGGAGCCTAGAAAGCATTGTGAAAAACAACTAATTCAAGCTTTTCCTTTAGCAGACAAGAAAACTCAGGTTACACAGCTGATTCTAATTCTCTATTTTAAAGTGCCAACAACAGTAGTCACATTAACCCTTACATAGTATTTAAACGACAGGCACTAGACCTTAACTCATCTGATCTCACAAGAACACTATGGGGTAGGCAGAATTACCACTCCTGTTTACAGATGACAAAAATAAACTTCCCCAAGACCATACAGCTGTTACCATAGTGGGCTTACGATTTGAAGCCAGACAGGCTGGCTTCATAAATATGCATGTCCTCCTTATTATGCTACATACCTAGAATAGCATGAAAGTGTCATGAAGTTTTTGGCATGCAATGAAATGTACTACATGATGCAAAGTAGAGTAACTTTTAAAAATATAAGTATTTGCTGAAAACTGAGTTAAAACAAGTCAGCTGCTTAAGGTGTTATTAAGTATTTCAGAACAGGAAAATGTAACATTTTAAAACATTTTTCCCTTCCAATGGGATATTTTCTGTGAAATATCTAGTCATGGTCTAGGCTTAAAAATCTAAGTCTATAATCAACAGTCAAGTGTTAGCTTTATTAATGATTTCAGTAAATCAAAATAAAAACAGATCACTCTTCTTGACCCATATTTTAGACCATGTGGTTAGAAATACTACATAAACATGTAACATCCACATCCTTTCAACACGAGTATCTTAGGGAGTAGGAATAACAAGGCAATATACTTATTAGCATATGTATTTTGAAATGAAATCGATGTTTAAATTTAGAAAACTCTGACATTTATACACCATTTTTTTTTCAGTACTTATTTCTTGTTAAAAATAGTTTGTGGACTGGGCGTGGTGGCTCATGCTTGTAATCCCAAGACTTTGAGAGACAGAGGAAGGCAGATCACTTGAGGTCAGGAGTTCGAGACCAGCCTGGCCAACATGGTGAAAGCCCTTCTGTACTTAAAAAAAAAAAATAAAAAAATAAAAAAAATTAGCTGGGCGTGGTGGTACATGCCTGTAATCCCAGCTACTCAGGAGACTGAGACTGCAGTAAGCCAAGATCATGCCACTGCACTCCAGCCTGGTCAATAAGAATGAAACTCTGTCTCAAAAAACAGTTTATGTTCTGGGATAGGAAGAAAATAAAGTCCTTATCAGTCATGAGAACACTCAACCTGCCTTTAAGTATGATTTCCTTTCATTAGCCCTGCAAAAGAAGTGATTAATGTTTAAATGTTAAAAGTTTTAAATTCATGTACTTAACCTCCCCACCTGCAAAACCAACAAAAACCAAAACCAAAATCCTGTCCTCAGAACTGAAGCAAGCTCTATTCAGAATTCAGAAAGGTTTATCAAAGTCCCTATAAATATGGTCACTGAGAGGTTGAATTTCTGAGTAAGTCTCAGAGTACAGAGAGTAATAGTAATTCAAGAAAACAGAACACAAAACACACACTAAGGATCTGCTAGCATCAGACTTATGTAAATAGCTGCTAAAAAGCCATCCTATGTTTAAGTGGGCTAATCAGAGTTTCCAATGTCCCTGATAACCCATGCAAGTATAAAAATACTTCTAGTTTTTAATTCATGTACTTTTTTTTTTTTTTTTTTTTTTTTTTTTTTTTAAATCGAGTCTCGCTCTGTGGCTGGAATGCAGTAGCGTGATTTCGGCTCACTGCAACCTCAGCTGCCTAGGTTCAAGTGATTCTTGTGCCTCAGCGTCCCGAGTAGCTGGGACTACAGCCACGTGCCACCATGCCCAGCTAATTTTTTTGTATTTTTAGTAGAGACGGGGTTGTGCCATGTTGGCCAGGAGGGTCTTGAACTCCTGACCTCAGGTGATCCACTGTCTCAGCCTCCCAAAGTGCTGGGATTACAGGCGTAAGCCACTGGCGCCTGACCTCATGTATCATACTTAACCCATCCCACTTCCTGCAAAACAACAACAAACAAACTTCAATACAAAAAAAACTGTCCATCTCAGAACTCAAGCAAGCTCTGGGAACAGCCTACCTTTGCCTAAGTTTGATTTTGTTTCCTTCTATGTGTGACTTAGTTTTAAACAAGGTACAACTTAAGTTTCCTAGTAAAGTGAATATTGAAATGGCAGAGAATTCTGCAATACTTGTATAAGCACACATCTTTTCCGATATAATGGAAAAGGTATGAGGTTAGGAGAGAGATGGATTCTAGTTTTGGCTCTAGTACTAACCACTTCTGTGGGTGGCTTTAGGCAAATTACTATACTTTTCTGGGACTACTGCTGTGTCTATAAAATAAGGAACTGGGTTAGAAGAGCAAACTTTCTTCCAATTCTGACGTCCTGGGACTCTGTGACAGTTAAATGTGCACTGACAAAACATTTTTCTATAGCATTTGGTCCTTTTTTTCGAAATGATAAAGAACTGGTTTTATAACAATTAACAAATAAATTACTTACAAAACACAGTAATTATTCTTCCTAACTACTATTTACTGAGCATCCAACATGCATTATTTCCAAACATTACAGCAATTCTGCAAGGTCAGGTAATACCACCAGTTTACAGGTGAGGAAATTGGGCCTTAGAGAGATTAAGTAACCTGAAGATGATCACCCATCAAGGAAATAATAGCGCCGGAATTCAATCCCGTATCTGCCCAGTTCCAAAGGCCATGTGCTTTCTGCTATACTAAGTGCTTCCTTACAGGTAAAATCACACATTTTCCCTTCGCAGGATCATTCTCTTCTACTGTTAAAGGAAAAGCACTTACCTTTTTCAATTTAGGCAGCTTGGGGAGATTTGAAACTGAAATCAAGCCTACATTTATTAAACTGAGGAACTCTAAGTTCACAAATTCAGCTGTTAAGCCCTCAATTTTTCCATCATTTGATTTGCAATTGTCCAAGACAAGTTCTCGAACCTGTGGATGACAAAGAAAAAAGAATAAGCTCTCAAAAAAAATTGAAAACAAAGAATGCAAAAACTTCTACCATAAATATCCTGCAAAAACACCCATATATATGGGCAGCCTCTTCGACTTAGATGATAGCTGTAAAAAGAAAAAATAATTAAGCCTTCAGTAGCAACATACTCACAGATTCAAAGCTGGAATATTACTCGAGTATAAAACAATCATTTTCCAGAAACGGACACTATACTTTAGATGTAAGTGAAGTAAGTGTATTCCCCTCATTTCTTTTCCTCAGTCTGTTCCCCAAAGGGCAGCTTTCATTTAAACGCTAACACAGAGTGAAGACACTCTTTAGGCTAATCTACCTTAAGGCCCAGAAGATGACCACAGAAAAGAGGAAAGCTTTATTTTTCCTACCAAGACCTCTAAGAGATTCTGGCTAGAGGTTTCTGCACCAACACAGTTTCCAACTCTGGTTTTATTAATCTTTGCCAAGATTATCTTGACACCAGGAAGAAACCAGGATGCAGGAGTCCTTAATTCAAAACAAAAATCAATCTGGGTTCCACGTGAGAAAGATGTTTCTAGGGAACTGTTAGATAATAAATTTTCAGCCGGGCGCGGTGGCTCAAGCCTGCAATCCCAGCACTTTGGGAGGCCGAGGCGGGTGGATCATGAGGTCGAGAGTTCGAGACCATCCTGGTCGACATGGTGAAACCCCGTCTCTACTAAAAAAAAAAAAATAATACAAAAAAATCAGCTGGGCATGGTGGCGTGTGCCTGTAATCCCAGCTACTCAGGAGGCTGAGGCAGGAGAATTGCCTGAACCCAGGAGGCGGAGGTTGCGGTGAGCCGAGATAGCGCCATTGCACTCCAGCCTGGGTAACGAGCGAAACTCCGTCTCAAAAAAAAAATAATAATAATAATAAAAATTTTCATTTTCAGGCTACATCTGGCCAGGTACAGTGGCACACGCCTGTAATCCCAGCACTTTGGGAACCCAAGGCGGGCGGATCACCTGAGGTCAGGGGTTCAAGACCAGCACGGCCAGAAATACAAAAATTAGCTGGGTATGATGGTTGAGTGCCTGTAATCCCACTACTTGGGAGGCTACAGCAGGAAAATCGCTTGAACCTGGGAGGCACAGTTAGCTGACATTGTACCATGGCGCTCCAGCCTGGACAATAGAGTGAGACTCCATCTCAAACAAAAAAAAAAAAAAAAAAAGAGCATCACATCTGATGATTTGAATTTTTGAATACTGAGAGTCTACATGCAGATCTACCACAATAATTCATATATTGCCATTCTTGATCACCCTGAAACTTGCAACTTTTTTAGTCCACTATGATCTACTCACAGTGATGCAAATTACCGTTTTAACTGCACCAACAAAGGCAGAATGCCTTTGTAAAGAATTTTAGCCGGGCGCGGTGGCTCAAGCCTGTAATCCCAGCACTTTGGGAGGCCGAGGCGGGTGGATCACGAGGTCAAGAGATCGAGACCATCTTGGTCAACAAGATGAAACCCCATCTCTACTAAAAATACAAAAAATTAGCTGGGCATGGTGGCACGTGCCTGTAATCCCAGCTACTCAGGAGGCTGAGACAGGAGAATTGCCTGAACCCAGGAGATGGAGGCTGCGTTGAGCCAAGATCGCGCCAGTGCACTCCAGCCTGGGTAACAAGAGTGAAACTCCGTCTCAAAAAAAAAAAAAAAAAAAAAAAAAAAAAAAGAATTTTAGTGAACCTACCATATTTAATGGCATTAATCAAGCAAGTATATGGGAGATGCTGATACTCTGAAAAGAGAACAGGAGCTATTAACAACGTCCTCGCCGGACATGGTGGCTCAAGCCTGTAATCCCAGCACTTTGGGAGGCCGAGGCGGGTGGATCACTAGGTCAAGAGATCGAGACCATCCGGGTCAACATGGTGAAACCCCGTCTCTACTAAAAATACAAGAAATTAGCTGGGCATGGTGGCGCATGCCTGTAATTCCAGCTACTCAGGAGGTTGAGGCAGGAGAATTGCCTGAACCCAGGAGGCGGAGGTTGCGGTGAGCCGAGATCGCGCCATTGCCCCCCAGCCTGGGTAAAAAGAGCGAAACTCTGTCTCAAAAAAAAAAAAAAAAAAAAAAAACGTCTTCATCCTCTCATACAAAATCCAATAATGCTACTCTAATAATTGCTTTCGATTATGAAGTAAACATTTATTCTTTCTACCACCACTCTCCTTCCCCCATTTACAGAGAAACAAACAGATTTAACTCGGCAATACCCATAGCATAGTAAGTGTCTAACCACTTCTCACTACCCTGTCTACTCCTCTTCAGAAGCCAGGCATACATTTTTACTCTTTACATCCACATACTTCTTCCCTCCCTCCTTTTACATCTACTTCCTTCCTTTCTCCCTCCCTTCCTTCCTTCTTTCCATTTTTCTTTAGATATCTCTGCATTCTTCCCTTTTCTGAAAAGAAATGAGCACATCTGAAAAAATAGGTCAACTCTGACAAAAGCTGGGCTCTGGAAACAGATGTCTGGGGTCGAATCCTGGTTCTCCTCTGCCACTCAGAACTCGTACAACCTTGTGTGAATCACTTCACTTCTCTGTGCCTCAGTTTCCCATAAAGTGGACATAACAGTACCTACCTCATGAAATTGTAGGAACTAGGGCTTGGAACATTATAAATGGCCAGATAGTAAACCTTGGGTAAAGGGAATGGGAAATGTCAGAGACCTTTGCTGTATTTTTGTATCTGTATTAAATTTTTTACAAGCATGTATTTATTCTGTATATTTCTAAAATTCTGTATTAAAAAGAAACTAGGCTGGGTGCGGTGGCTCACACCTGTAGTTGGGAATTCAAGACCAGCCTGACGGATCATGGAGAAACCCCATCTCTACTAAAAATACAAAATTAGCCAGTGGTGGTGGTGCATGCCTGTAATCCCAGCTACTCGGGAGGCTGAGGCAGGAGAATCACTTGAACCTGGGAGGCAGAGGTTGCAGTGAGTTGAGATGGCACCACACTCCAGCCTGGGCAAAAGGAGTGAAACTCCATCTCAAAAAAAAAAAAAGAAAAAAAAAAGAAACTAAACCATTAGTTCACTAAACCATAAAACCAACAATCCATTGAAATTTTTAAAATGTCAACTGTCATCACCCACCCATCTAAAGCAGTATGCTGCAATACAATCAAAATGTTCCCATTTGGCTTGGGAGATTTTCTATAATTCTGTCCAAAATAATCCAAAGATGTTACACAAAATGACACCAATATCCAAAAAGTAAAGTGACCGTTGGCCATATTGCCTCCCAACTCATGGAGTGAAATCACCTCTTAAAAGACATTTCTTTCAACTTGCAAAATTCCACTTTAACCATTGTAAAGGTGTCATCAAAATGTACCAGAGGACTCAAATTAGGGTTAAAACATGTTTTTGCTGGCTGGGTGTACTGCCTCACACCTGTAATTCCAGCACTTTGGGAGGCCAAGGGGGATGGAGCACCTAATGTCAGGAGTTTGAGACCAGTCTGGCCAACATGGTAACTCCATCTCTACTAAAAATACAAAAATTAGTCAGGCATAGTGGCATGTGCCTGTAGTCCCAGGTACTCAGGAGGCTGATGCAGGAGAATTGCTTGAACCTGCAAGGCAGAGGTTGCAATGAGCTGAGATTGTGCCACTGCACTTCAGCCTCAGTGACAAAGTGAGACTGTCTCCAAAAAAAAAAAAAAAAAAAAAAAAGGCACTGCTAGACTAAGCTTCATAATGGCAGGGTCATGTGTATTCTGGTTACCACTGTATCACTGAATATGAGCCTACGTAACTGCTGAATGAGGAAAAAAAAGGGTCACACGTTTGTCAGCAATACTGTACAGAGGTCTGTGTCTTTTTTTTTTTTTTTTTTTGAGACGGATTTTCGCTCGTTACCCCAGGCTGGAGTGCAATGGCGCGATCTTGGCTCACCGCAACCTCCGCCTCCTAGGTTCAGGCAATTCTCCTGCCTCAGCCTCCTGAGTAGCTGGGATTACAGGCACACGCCACAATGCCCAGCTAATTTTTTGTATTTCTTTAGTCCCTGTTGAACATTTGTGCTTAATTTTTCCTACCATATCTTTTTACTTAAAATGTCTTCTGTATTTAAGACAGTGTCTTTAGAATCCATTGCTAAGTGAAAGAATACAAACATTTGAGTCTGCTATTAGTTAAGAGTTCTTTATTTAAAACATCAACTTCTCTTTTAAATGAGTAGTTAAATTTAAGTGCTGCAAAATTATTTTCCAATTCATTTGACTGTAACTTTTTGTAACCTCTCGATTATGGAAATTCTGGCTATTTGCATTTATTTGTTCTTGAGGGTATCTTCTATTGTTTTTTTTTTTTGTTGTTGTTGTTTTTTGAGACGGAGTTTCACTCTTGTTACCCAGGCTGGAGTGTAACGGCGCGATCTCGGCTCACCGCAACCTCCGCCTCCTGAGTAGCTGGGATTACAGGCACGTGCCACCATGCCCAGCTAGTTTTTTGTATTTTTAGTAGAGACGGGGTTTCACCATGTTGACCAGGATGGTCTCGATCTCTCGACCTCGTGATCCACCCGCCTCGGCCTCCCAGAGTGCTGGGATTACAGGCTTGAGCCACCGCACCCGGCCTCTTCTATTGTTTTTACCCTAAGTAAGAAAAAAATAAATACCCCAGCAGAAACACACACAAAAAAAGGCAGACAAGCTCTGAAAGACACAAATAACCAATACTAAAAAATATAGTTCAAGGCCGGGTGCTGTGGCTAGCACCTATAATCCCAGTACTTCGGAAAGCAAAAGTGGGAGGGCCACCTAAGCCCAGGAGTCCAAGAGTCACCTGGGCAACACAGGGAGACCTAGTCTCTACAATAAAGTAAATAATTAGCTCGGCATGATGGCACGTGCCTGTGGTCCCAGCTACTTGAGAGGCTGAGGCAGGAGGATCACTTGAGCCTAGGAAGTCCAGGTTGCAGTGAGCCATT